TTTTTTTATTGACCGATATTGTTGAAATGATCTCTAACGACTAGTTTATGAATTTTATCACAATATAGCATACATAAGTAATTTCCATATGTTAAAACCGTGGTTTCCCATCTCACTAGGAACAACACTTTGGAATGGGGATGGCCAGAGAACTTCGGCTATAGTTTAATGAAGTGACAACTACTTTTATGCTAACATTTTTTTATCGTTAGCGGCTATATGCTTACTGATATGGTAACTACTGAGGATTAAGATCTGTCAAAAACTCCCGAAAGAGTATTGGCAGACGTATTGTTCACAGTATTGTTCACACGCCTATTCCACATAATGCAGATTAGATCTTATTGCTGCAGCTTTTGCGTAACTGGTTTCTGTTCAAGACCTTAACGTAGACGGAGTCCCTCTACCTTCTCCCTGCCGGCTCCAACGAGTCCCTCCAGGTGCGACTTCGCTTTCAGGGCATCGGCAGATCCTGACTCTAAGGTCCGTACGCCTAGTCCACACAACGGGGGCTAGATATCATCACTAGTACCAGTCGCAGAACGGGGTTCCACTTAAAACCCCAACGGGTACCTTAGTCGGGGTCGCCCCTCACTCCAATTCCTACGGCTTGCTCAAGTTGAGACACACCCCGCCAGTTTCTTCCTCGGTCTTTTTGTCGGGTCCCCATCTCCCCGGGCAACTTGGCTTGCAGATGGTGTCGCTCCGTCCAGAAAGCTGGTTCAGGATGAGCTTCAGTCAGATCTGTCGGTATCAATGATAAACCGTTTAATAATACAAACATTCCATCACGAACGGCAGCATGGCTGCACTCCTTTGTCTTTTCGTCAATGAAACCGAAGCCGTTATCTCTCAAATACTTCATCTTAGTCGTATTTTTAGCCGTTCCATCGATTTGAATGAAATATGGAGGGTCTTTCCTTGCGGGACCGAAGAACCAGTTGATGTTCGATGCAACACTGCAACATACATAAGCAATTACCGCCTAAATTTCCATCTAAGATACGACACTGATGAATGAGCGTCCCTCTGAAATCACATTAAAAGCTACCGCTTCTCCGGTACTCAAAAATGCGTGTCCCAATGCTTAAACCTCATCGAATGTGGTAAAGTTTTTATGGTCGAAAGAGATCAGTGTCAAGAAATCAAACGAACCGTTAACGAGGCAAGTTTCGCACAAAAATTCGGGAAAGGTTCATATAAGTATGCTGCATAGCACAACCTTAATGCCCCTTTTGATACTACTCATTCAATCTCATCACTTTATTTTTGGTTCGACCGCGGTGTGCGTCAAATTGAACTTTGTATCTGTCATCACGCAATTTTGAGTTCAAATGACCATTCGGTCGAGGATAAAACAAGTAATCGAAAACGACTTGATCAAGGAGGGT